CTAATTAAAATTCAGCGTTTGATTTACATAACCTATCCTCCTCATATTTTCCAAAATATTGCTTCTGTCGGGCGCATCCGAGGTTCACGATAAAAATATTTCTAACGCATCGTAGGTTCCTATATTTCATTTAAATTATTTGTTATATACAGATAGCCAAAATATTACTTCTTCAACTTTGTTGAACTACAATAAATCTGTGATTATTTTAGTTTAAATTATTTGCAACGTAATACTAACGGTTTAAATTCCGTTTGATCGATTTCAGAATTGCATTTCCGCGGACTCGCTATTCTAAAGACCAGCTTCATTAGGGAGATGCTCCGGGGACCGTCTAAGCATCCGTAATTTTCAGTTAAAGCCCACAGCACCGACTGTGAAATGTGTATTATTAGGATTTTAGGAGATCCCTCGGCTGCTCATGCTTCTTTCTCCGGCTCACCTTTACTTAGGCCGGCGCTTAATATGCAAATTGCCGACCGTTTATTTTAATTAGAAAATTAATTTGCCGCTTTACTTTAGTAAATTAAAAGCAATCAATTGTCCCGGTGGACATTTAAGTCTTCTGAAAATACTTGTATTTGTTTTTTGAGAATATATCTATTTTCTATTTTTCGAAATCGATAATTTAGAAATCGAGAACAGACCGAACAGGTTCCAATTCATTGATTTGAGAAATAATAATTTAACTAACTTAACTAATTTTCTAGTATTTTCAAAGTTGTGAGGGGTAGCCCCATCTTGCTGAAAGTATATTTCACGTAAATTACACACACCGGAAAAATTTAGGGATATCATTTTATTAAAGTTAAAAATAAATGTTTTGAATAAACAAACACATATTTGTAGGCCGATTCTTTCTACTTCGATTGAAACGAAGTAGTCACACTAGTTATTTCTAAATTTGGGATATTTGCAGAAGTGTTTGTGCATTTTTTGTCAAATGTATAAAAAGCACTTAGCATCAATTGTTCGAATTTAACCTGTACTGGCTATGTTTTTATGATAACTGGCCAGAATTCATTCAAATAACTCTGTTTAGTATTAAACGACATTATGGAGCGTAGACATCTTAACAGAGACGAAATGCTAAGGGCCATGGGTATGCTCGAAGCTGGAATGCGCCAAATCGACGTCGCTAGAGCATTAAATACAATCGCAAGTGTAATATCGCGATTAAGTGCACGCTACCGTGAAAGTGGTGATATTGCTGAAAGGGGTGAAAGGGCACACAGGGCGACATCGTATTACTACCCCTCAGCAAGATCATTTTTTACAATTAAATGCTCGACGCCAACCGACTCTCACAGCACCAGAGCTTAGTTTAATTCTCCAGGAAACACATAATGTAACCGTTAGTCCTGACACTGTCGCAATAGATTAAGAGAGGTCAACTTAAAAAGCAGACGCCCCTGGAGAGCTCAACCCTTAACGAGAGGAAATCGAGAGGTACGATATTTGTGGGCTCAAGATCATGTTCAGTGGTCGAATGAACAATGGGCCAATGTTCTCTTCACGGATGAGTCACGCTTTGGAATTCATCCGGATTCGAGAAGGCTTAGGGTATGGAGAGAACCGGGAAATCTTATTCGGTTGGATCATGTTCATGAAGTGCACCCTTATCAAGGTGGAACAGTTATGGTCTGGGGAGGAGTCCAGTTAGGCCGAAAAACCGATCTCGTTTTTCTTGAAAGGTTTCTAAAGGGAATAACATATCGTGATTTAATTCTTGAGCCTGTCGTGTTACCATATGCCAATGATTTTCGGAGAAACTTCATTCTCATGCATGACAATGCACGGCCTCATACAGCCAAAGTGGTAAGTGAGTTTATCAATGCTCATCAATTAAACATCTTACCCTGGCCGGCACAATATCCTGACCTCAGTCCCATCGAGCACGTATAGGACGCGGTCCAAAGAAGAATTTTGAGAATGGGTATGCCTCGTGAAACTCGTAGGGATCTGGTTCGGGCCGTGAAATCATGGCAGGCTGTACTGGCAGGCTGCGTGGCAGGCTGTACCTCAGGAAGAGATCGACAACCTGATCAGGAGCATGTCAGGAGACGATGTAGGGCTGTAATGAACAGTAGAGGAGGCCATACCCTTTATTAAGTAAAAATGGTTTTATCTTTTTTTTTAATTCACAGTTTAGAATAAAAAAAAATGTGTGTATTTTTTTGAGTTAAATAAAAATCAAGGTAAATTTGAAAATTTTTGTAAATTTCGCATTTTTATTTCCAATACGTCCTCTAAACTATTTGTTTATTTTAATTTTATTGTTTCAGAAATGCAAAAAATAAAATTACTGACGATGGCTGGATAAAATTGTAATATCCCTAGACTTTTCCGGTGTGTGTAGTTAAAGGAATATCTAATTAAGGAGTTCCAGTACGATAGCTTCCCAGATTTACAAATAGAGGTAGTGAGTTAAGTTTCCCTAACAGATAAAGAATTTATTAGTGGCTTCCAAAATAAAAAAGAGACCGACAGCTGTATCACAGTCTTCTGTGGCTGTATACTTTTAATAATTCTTTAGTTGCTTTTTATCAATCATGGCCGACTAATAAATATATGATGAAAACTTTTAAATATTACAGTAAATAGTGAAAATAAATATAAAGTGATATATATTTTTGAGAAGCTTATGGTAAGCCAGATAATATAATTTATAAATATACAGGGTATTCAATTTAAAAAACCTAACTTTAGTTCATATCTTTAAAACTATTCTTTTCGTAGAATAACAAACTACGGCATTGTATTCTACGTAAAAACTTCTACAATAAACAGTTCTCACCTTCTCGATACCTTTAAGACCTGTAGCTCAGAAACGAAGAAAATTTTAATAACGGAGATACCGTATGATTTCAACCCATAGACTTAAAATAAAATATAGACTACACTATTTACATCTCAACGCGGTCAAACAATCATTTTTGTACACATGTTTACTTCTGGGTACACTCGACCGCAGCCGACCAATCCTTCCTGTCCAGCCTATGTTGTCACGTCTTTAATATTATCAATATTTTTTTACTTATTATACACATATATTGAGATATTAATACTGCATTTTAATAAAGTAGGTTTTAATATTCCATAAATGTATTAAATAGTCCTTATACTACTTTATTATAAGTCGAATTCTATGTAAAAATGATAAATCCTTTACAATATGGCAACACCGATTAGAGGCGAGGTCGCCTATTCATTCTTCTATTATCTTGTAGTACGCGTCGCACGTGTGTAGTAAAGCATTGGTGCCGCTACTTCTCTATAGCTGAATTATTGCATTTTCTTAGTTTGTAGTCCTTAAATGTTTATTTTATTTACTTTTTGTATTCAAGAACTATAAAATATGGTTCGCCAGTGCCAAATTTGCAAGAAATTTGACTTAAATGATCCATTTGAGTCTCGAAACGACTTTCGACCGGTAGGCAACTCTCAATTTACCAATTGGGAGTCAGTGGCGTTGTTGTAGAAAGGCGCTTATTTAGATAATATTTTAGTAAAATGTAAAATCTGAATTTTTTCTATTACATAATCATTTATATAAAAGTTTTTGTAACAAAATCATAATTATAACCCTGTTATTATACAAGATAAATTATATTAGGCATCGGTTAAAAAATTAATCATGTTTTTATTAAAAATATATTCCAGTTTATCCTAAAACTATCTTCAGAATCTAAAATAACATACAAGAATTTTAAAATGATATTACATTATGAAACAATATTTTTTAATATACTGGGTGCGTCTCAAAAGTCACCCCTGTGACTTTATATTATTTTTTCAGATAAAAACAAACAGATTTGTATGTTAATATATGACATAAATTAAGATTGACTGACTAAAACTTTTGATTTTTAAATGGCACCCTCGGTATATTGCTACTTTATTCGATAGAAAATGACACTCCGTGACACACACATATAGAATGACATATCATATGTCAACTTTTGACATTGTCGCTTAAAAACAAATCGTATTATAAATTTCAATCCAGGGTGCCACGGCGGTGTTAAAAACACTAAGTTTTAATTAAGGAGCATTGGAAAAATAGTTTTGATCGTCTAATGTTTTTCGTGTCTTGTCTAGGCCGGTTAAAAGATGCACAAATCGTATATTTAGTCATATGTCAATTTTTTTAAATGGAACAAGGGTGACTGATTAGCATATTTCGAAAAAGCATTTTTTTATAAATATATTGATACTTGGTATTTCGAGTCAAATTGTCGTTATGAACCGCGTGCTACAATTTCAATTAAACCTTATGCGAAAATGTCAAAACTTGACATATGATATGTCATTCTATTCAGAGTGTCATTTTCTATTGAATAAAGTAGAGATATACCTAGGGTGCCATTTAAAAATTAGAAGTTATAGTCATTTCCGGTGAAACAGGAAGTGACCAAAAACAAGTGAATGCGTCAATCAATCTTAATTTATGTCATATACTAACATACCAAATCTTGTATTTTTATTAGAAAAAATAAAAAAATATGGGGGTGAGCCACTTTTGGGACGCAGCCGGTATAATAAAGACAGTACCGGGTTAAATAAATGTAGTTTTCATTTTATCCACTTCCTAAAAGCTTGCTTTAATGAAACAGATCTCTGTTTTCTCTAATTTACATAATAAGACATCACTTACCAGAAAAAAATACAACAATCATGAAGTTTTTTCTCTTTCCATCTCGCCGATTCTATTATATCTATAGAATTGATCCTGTTTTGATTAATATTAGAGTTGTAAATGTTTGACTAAAATTAATAATTAATTTATTAATTTCAAAAATTAAATAGTAATTTCGATTATTAAAATTTTTTCTGTAACATGTATTTTATTATTTTTATCGCTTTTGGACGTTTTGTTTTCTAAACTTTTATTTAAAAAACCTCTCCTAAATCTTAATAAAATATAAAAAAGTGAAATACGATATATTTTTAATTGAATTATAGCTTCATTAAAATAAAAAAATTACCCGGCTATGGTACGGAGAGTTCAGGTGTACTGAGGAACGAAAGACAGTGTTGCATTCCTCTCAGAGTCGTCAAGGAACGATCGTTACGACGGAGACAACCTATCTATCGCACGTGTCGCACTCGTTAGAGCCTAAAACAATAACAAGACATTGTCTGACCGCATCTTCCAGCTATTTATGAATGAGATGCTCAGTCTATATTTTATTTTAAGTCTATGTTTCAACTAAAATGGGACACCCTGTTCATTTTGAACGGCTTTAACGAATTCGTTCTTGAGTTATGGGAAATAGAAAAATACTAAATGAGGCAAAAATTTTATGTCTCAATATGAAAAATCTATTATGATTTTCTTCTACAGAGATCTGTCAAAAATATTCTCAGTTATATTCCCTATGAAAAGTTACAAAAAGTACACTGTAAACATACGAGAATCTTTTAAAATCAAATATATTTCGTAGATAAGTAAACACACGCTTCAAAAGAAATTTTATTTATTAAACACTAAACAATTCACAAAATTAAGTACCTACTTGTTAAAATATTTGCCCTACGTTCTTTACTCCCGTTCAATAATTCTTGGTGTTCGAAATATACGGAATATTTAAATGACTTAAAATTATGCCTCTTCAAATTCGCCAAGCAGTGGTACGATGGTTTTCAACCATTTCTCCAAGTATTCTGGTACTTACTTGGATTTCACATTCCAGTTGTAACATAATATTAATTCATTTGCATTTATTATTTCTCCATGATCCTCATTAATATTAATTTTCTTTTTATATTTAGAGTCTTTAATAACTGTTCGAGTTGAAATTCTTCTCTTACACTTATAATCTTCAAAATCTGGTGTGGTATATTTGAAAAATGTACAGAAAATAAATCCTTTACATCCTGTAGACTTTTTCCTCTATTAATATTATTAAACTATTTTTTTTCTTTAGTTGTTATTAATATTTACAAATTATATTTAGCACGTATAAAGTTAATATGACATTAAAAAACGATTTCTTTTAAAATTATTTTTGCCAACAATAAATTTAATTTTACATTAGAAGATTACTTTGAAGTCAATTTGCACTCCCAGATCCAATACAATCTTTGGATACGTAAAAGATCGCTTATCCGTTATCAGTACAGCCTCTGTTTTATTTATTAGATATAGATATAGACTATGAATATCTTATAAATAAGCAATAAATTAGGGTTTTATATTGTAAAAAATTATGACATATTAACCACTATATATTTTTTCTACAATTAGCAACTGAGAAAACATTTCATGATTAATTTTTTTTAAAGACGTTGTTAAGGTGACAACGAGTTTTTACTAGTTGGTATGTTTTCTTAACGAAATAAAGTGTAACAATCATTGAAAGAAATATTCATATTTTTAACTATATCTACGTTGTATTGGTTTATTTTTCTTCAAACGCGTGAAGGCTGTTAACGATATTAAACGAAAGACACCCCCCGGTGACAAACATAAAAAATGTCTTACATGTTCAGCTATAAAATAAAACTACAGCCGCGCCATATGGAGTCGGGTCTGCGGAATTGTGTCCATTATCAATAGTGTCACAACGGGACAGCAGCTGTAAAAAACAATATTATGTCGTAGAGAATAAAGAAAAAGACATAACCAGAAAAGTAAAAAAGAAACATATATATTACTACTCTTTAAATTAATTCTTTTCAAGGTAGTAGTATAACCCTAGTGGATTTTGTTAACTATACAGGGTGGTCCGAACTGTATTCCGGAAACTTCGGCAGCATATTCTGCAGATAAAAATAAGTAAAAAAGTTCGTATAAATGTATGACCTAAAATGCTTAGTTTCGGAGATACAGGGTGTAGAAGTTTTATTTTTATTTTCATTTTTTCCAAATAATTTCTAAAGTAACGGCAATATTTGGATGAAAATGGTGTCTGGGAGTTTTTTGACATGAGAAATTTGATTTTGTTGTCAATATGACTCCTACTTGTAGAGGGAGCCACGTTCATATTATTTAACTGGTTTGAAGAATAATAACTTTTCGTCCGTAATTGTATAAAACTACTGGGTGAAAAAATATACATTTACGACGTTTTTTACGTAAAAATGATTTGGCAAAAATCGCTACGAGTAATGGTTCTCGAGATATTTGGAATCGAAATGGTCAATACCTGTCATCATTGACATAAATGAAACATGTTGACGAAATAGTTCTCGAAATAGTTATTAACTGAAATCATAAATTTTAAAAGTTTTTGTGTCAAAAGTTTAACAGAAACTTTTTTATCATCATTTTTTCAAAGAAAAATTTATTATTAATTTAAAAAAATAAAAAGTTCCCAAATTTTACTATTTCAGTCAAATAACTATCTACTCAACATGTTTATTTTTTGTCAATAATGACATGTATTGACTATTTCCATTCTAAATATCTCGAGAACTGTTGCTCGTAGCCATTTTTAGCAAGATATTTTTGACGTAAAAAATCACGGAAATGTATATTTTTTCACCCGGTAGTTTTATACAGGTACGGACGAAAAGTTACTACTCTTAAAAACAGTGAAAACACATGTAGATGGTGCCCCCTACAAATAGGAGTTATATTGACATCAAAATCAAATTTCTCATGTCAAAAAACTCCCAGATGCCAATTTTCATGTAAATATTGACGTTACTTCAGAAATTATTTGGAAAAATCTAAATAAAAATGAAATTTCTACACCCTGTATCTCCAAAACTAAGCATTTCAGCACATACATTTATACGAACTTTTTTACTTATTTTTATGTGCAGAATATGCTGCCGAAGTTTCCGGAATACAGTTCGGACTTCGGACCACCCTATATACAGGGTGATCCCAGGTATGTCCTAAGGTGCTTAATTTCAGAGATACAGGGTGTATTTTTTCTAAATAATTTCTGAAATAACGTCAATATTTGGATGAAAATGAAGGTCTGGGAGTTTTTTGGCATGAGCAATTTGAGTTTGATGTCAATATGGCTCCTACTAGTAGAGGGCGCCACCTACATGTGTTTTAACTGTTTTGAAGCGTAATAACTTTTTGTCCGTACCTGTATAAAACTACCGAGCGAAAGAATATACATCTCTGTGACTTTTTACGTAAAAAATATCTCTTTGTAAAAATCGCTACGAGCAACCGTTCTTAAGATATTTAGAATGGAAATAGTCAATACATTATAATAATACATTATTGACGAAAAATAAACACGTTGAGTAGATAGTTATTTCACTGAAATAATTAATTTGGGAAATTTTAATTTTTTTAAATTAATCATAGATTTTTCTGCAAAAAATGATGGTAAAACAGTTTCTGTTGAACTTTTGGCACAAAAACATTTCCAATTTATGATTTCAGTCTAATAACTACCGTATGATCGAAAAAAAACGGCGTCCAGTTGGCTTGGAAATGACGATCGATGATATTTCCCATATAATTTTACATATAAAACGACAGCGATCTTCATTTCATAACCATCGTTGACGCCGTTTTTATTCGATCATACGGTATTTGGTCAACATGTTTAATTTATGTCAATGATGACAGGTATTGATAATTTCGATTACAAATATTTCGAAAACCATGACTCGTAGCGATTTTTACCAAGAGACCTTTTTCACGTAAAAAACGTCGTAAATGTATATTTTTTTACTCAGTAGTTTTATACAGGCACGGACGAAAAGTTATTACTCTTCAAACCAGTTAAAAATATGTAGGTGACGCCCTCTACTAATAGGAGTCAAATTGACATCAAAATCAAATTTCTCATGTCAAAAAACTCGCAGACACCAAAGACACCAAATATTGACGTTATTTCAGAAATTATTTAGAAAAAATCGAAATAAAAATGAAACTTCTACGCCCTGTATCTCCGAAACTAAGCATTTTAGGACATACATTTATACGATTTTTTTTTACTTATTTTTATCTGCAGAATATGCTTCCGAAGTTTCCGGAATACAGTTCGGACCACCCTGTATACTCAACTGAAACACCGTGTTTGCTTTATCTGTCATTAATAATAATAATAATAACGCGTTTCTCTAAGTATCATTAATATATTCTTTTGAACTAACTAGATATAAAATAGTATACTATAACAAAATTATATGCTAATATATCTAATAATACATTATACAGGGTGTTCCAAAAAACATGTGCCATCTCTGGTGGGGTGAATCCTCACGTAAAAATAAGATTTATTTTTCATACCGTGCTGGCAACTGTTACTTTTGGGTCGGCATTTATATGTGTGGAAGTAAATCGCATAGAGATCTTATTAAGTCGGAGTGAGAGAAATGCGACCGACCGACGCGACGCGCGACGGTGTGCTGTTGCGGCGTTGCCGATACGCCTTTCCCTATCAAGTAAAGTAAAATCACGATCGCAAACCGCATGTTTTTAAAAGACTTTTGTTCAAGAGATAACTGGATAAAATCATTAGACATGTTTCTGAGCATCTGAAATGGAATTATAAGGATATCGTTAGGGTGTCATTTTTTTATAACGAGAAAACGTCAGTAATCGCGATAATTTAAAAACTGAACTTTTTAACACATAACTCAAGAACCACTTTAGATATTGAAACTTTTTTATTTTCAAGATTGGATATTTTACAATATGTTTACATAAGAAAAATTCGATAAGGTTGTTTTTCCATTCAAAAATTGTAAACAATAATCCATCCATTTACTTCTAGAGCATAGCAATTTTCAGCAATCGTTTAATTTTTTTATTGATAAAGATTTTCACATACTGTCTACAAAGAAAATACAACAGAAATATTAACAAAGTTCTTGAAAAAACTACAATCTATTATTTCTAATAGATTTCGAGATATCGATTTTTGAATTCAGAGTTCTAATAGCGCGACCACTATCGAACACCCACTCAATTCCACTAATTTTTACCAAAAATGCAAGTGTTTCTAGCTTGCACTTAAAAAAATTCAAGCTATAGGGAAAATTACAACGACTCGTTAATAAATAAACAAATCAACTATCACGAGACGTAATTAAATCTTGAAGCTGAACGCCTGACGTACACCTTTCCCTAGAACTTTAAGTACTGACAGAGGTATTGATTGGGTCGACCGGTCAACTGCGACAAATCTGCTATATCCCCTTCCACGTCTCTCAGCGATGTGCGCAGTTTCTCGCTTTATTTCATACGTTTGGCAACGTGTTTACTGCCCTCTGTGCAGTACGTTATAAACGCATTGTACTCTTCTTACATACGGAAATCTCGACCCAAGACTAACCTTTGCCAGCCCTTAGTATAACGTGGGTCCGATTCTGCTTTGTTTCGTAGCTACAGGCTGTTAAAGTCTTAATATTTTTTCGATTTACAATAATTTTCATCCAACTACTTTTAGCGTTTCGAATGAAATTTTGAGGGTAAAAGTTACTATAAATGCGACATATTTTAAAGCTAAAAAAGTGTCGACATATTCACCAGGGACGTGCATATGGGTTATTACTGGAATATTTTTCTAAACTAAGCATGTACGCCACTGGCTTTTTTTTCTCCTGTCGGCGAAATAGTGTAAGCAGTTTAATGTCAATTAAATGTTGTCTCTTGTTATTTCATCAATTTCGGCCTCCTTGGTAAGATAAACGCCATGTTATTAATTTGCCTTGATCCAAGTCTAATATAGCAACCGATAAATATTTTTAATATCATTAATTTCCAAAGTTTTAAATAAGTAGATACTTATTGATTCCTCATCAAAAAATATGAAAAAAAAGTTCCTATAAACATGGGTATGGAAATGCATAGTTTTAGAGTTACAGGATGTTAAAAAAATGTTACAGGATGTTAAAAATTATTTTGAATACCATTATTTTTTTTATTTTAAATTGCTATAGGTTGCTAATAGTAATTATAACTGGTCGTAAGAACGTTTAATAATAAATTAGCTCGTAAATTAGATAACATATATAATTTATTAATGTTATTTTTATTTTAATAATTATTTATGATTTATAATGTAAATAACATGATTTTTAAAATACCCTGTATAACTTGTGTGTCTTTGACAAAGAATTTTAGCTCTAAAAATTTTAAACAATGTTTTTCTCAAAAACGGTTAATAGTAGATATAAAGTGTTTGATATCAAAATTCATTGAATTTTACAAACAATTTAATTATATAGGTAAAAATTGGGGTATGAATTTAAAATAAGAAAGTTACTGTAAATTTTCTGTACTTCCGGAATTGCCGCCATATTGAAAATATGTTTAATAGAGATGAATCTCAAAAAAGCTCTGATCTAGATATTTTGCTTCTCTAGATACTCCTAATGCAATCTTAGCTTGGGACACCCTATATACTTTACCCTAAATGAACTATTATTATAAAAAAAATAGATTTCAGGAAGATTTTAAAATTGCAAAAGCATAATTTACATTTAGTTTTGGTTCGTTGTTCGTAAAAGAGTCAAAAGAATGAATATTTTTTCAATTAAGTCGTCTTCAATAGTGGAGGATATAAAATAAATATGCTCTGACCTTTTGAAAAGATATGTTTGTAACGAAAATATAGCTAACCAGAAAACCCTAAAGCTAATGGAAACCATCAAA